GCATGGGGGGGGGGGGGAAGTTATCCAACAGAGATGATCATTTAGTGAGGATCCGTCTGTTTCCACCTCCAGAGGGCATCCAATCACAGAGCAGATCTGCATTGCAGCTGCTTCCTTCCAACCAACGGACCAAAGAAAAGCTTCAAACAGTCAATAAAACAAGAATAAAACATTATGAGTACTATTAAAACTTCTCAGTAAACACCTGATGCTCAGATGTTCCTACTAGTGAAAGTCCGACCAGCTGTGGAGATGAGGAAGGAGAAGACTTCTTAAAGTTGTCACGCTCCTCCTTTATAGTCCATATGAGCCAGTGGGAATCAGCTGGAATGCTGTTAAAAGCAGAAACATCAGAATCTGCATCACATCCTCTCTCCATCCCAACAGGTTCAGACTTCATCAAGACTTCTACAGGAAAGGAGGCCGTCAATGCTACTTATCCTGTTACCATAGTGATGGCCAGAGCTATCCGTGACTACTACTTGCGTACTGGCCACAAGGTAAAGTGTTTGTTTATCTATACAGGTCATTAAGAATCAAAATCTATGTGTTGATGATTATTCAATTCAGTTCAGTTTATTTCTATAGCTCCAATTCACAACACAAGTCATCTCAGGTCACTTTCCAGTTCACCAGATCATCCAGACAGATTGATTCAAAGTTTTCTATCTGAGGAAAACCAGCTGATTGCATCGACTCATTGACTCTTCAGCAATCCCTCACACAGCGCAGCGACAGCGCTGCCAAGGCCTATTGTATCTGTACCGTTTATTATTTATCTCCTTACAATAGAAGTGGCTTCTTTGGAGGCTTTAACATTTTCAAAAACTCAACAAACTTGGCAGTAAAATGTTGTTTAAATGTATGTATTTTAATGGAATTTAAAATGGGCGTGGCCAAATGGCTCTATGAGATGACGCAGAGATTTGACATTTTGCAGATAGGTAGATGTCAATGAATCATGAAAAAGAGTCTCTTGGAGGTAGGCTCTAAAACCTACAGGAAGTCGGCCATTTTGAGTCAAAGGCCAATTTTATGAAATTTTTCAATTTTGTTGACTTTGAATTTTAATTATCTCGGCCAAGGTTATTTGAGCCATCGGCTTCAAACTTGGTGTGTGTGCAGATAAGGTGTGAGATCAAAAATTATCTTTTTTTTTAGTTTTCATGAAGGGGTCCGCCGGGGCCCCGAGGTTAGAAATTAAATAACTTTTACAAAAAAAATCCAAAGCTGGTGTGATGCAGCTTTTAGAGGTTTCCCTGGTTTCATACCTCAATCAGTGACTGAATAACTCCTCAGCAGGCAGCCAAGTCTTCTCGGCCCTCTTGAGCTGAACACCTATGACCTGGCCTGACAGGCTGGAGGAGGAGAGCGTTGATCAGAGAAGCAGCTGAGAGATCCACTGTGACTCTGAAGGAGCTGCAGAGATCTACAGCTCAGGTGGAAAGCATAAGCTGTGATTAGGACAGGTGATTGTAATGTGGACCAGGAGTCCCATTAACCCAGTGGTTCCCAAAGATTTTCTTCTGGGCCCCTCCTTTGAATTACAATAAATTTTCCAATTGTACGTGTAATAACTGAGCTTCTTTTTCTTAATAATCTCTTTTCATGGTTCCTTCCTTCATCTCACCTGAAAGTTTGGTATAACCTGCTGTTTGTCCTTTTTAGTGTAACAAGGTGTTGCTGTTCACAAGCTAGAGTTCAATACAGCCACCAAAACATCAGTTTTGTCCTGCCTCTCAATATGATATTGGGTCTCCGCCGGTCAAGCTGACAGTCATAAAGGGAATTCATCAAATATCTCTATAAAGGTCATGAGCCAAGATTTAACCAACACTTTTCTCCACTATGAAAGCGTCCAATGATGGAGGAAGCTGGTAGAAACAGGCTGCAAAGTGTCTGGGAATAGATCAGTAGTTCAGCAGGCAGCAGCCACAGAAGGCTTTGATAGATGTTGGATTGTGATCAACTTCAGACTAAAAACACAGAGATGTTTTACTGCAGGTGGGCTTCAAGCCGGCGGGAGGCATTCGGACGGCGCAGGAATCCTTAGTGTGGCTAAATCTGATCAAGGAAGAACTTGGAGACGATTGGCTTTGCCCTCATCTCTTCCGCCTGGGAGCCAGCAGCCTATTGGCTGACATAGAGAGACAGGTGAGAATCATGCAGCTAGCATCGTTATTACCACAGCTAATGTTTGGATACTGATGTCTCTGTCCTGTGCGTGCAGATATACCACTATGTGACGGGGCAGTATGCAGCCTACCATGAGCTGCCCATGGCCTGACGACAGGAAGTCGTGTTTTAGTCGTCGAACAGAACGCCTGAAACGCCACGAAAAGCCGTCGCTGAAACAAAGACACCAGCATGTTTGTTGGGTTAACCATTGATTTCAGTGTCCGCACCATTCAAATGACTAATGATGAAATAAATCATTTATTTCAACTCTGCTCTGATGATTCTCTCCAGAAATAAAGAAGCTGAATGTTAAATGATGACCAAGTTTTGCACACGAAAACAACCAGATCACATCACCTTTAATATATAATCTCCTCCACCTTTAGAGACATTATGAACGTTTTTACAGATAAATATATTTACAATAGTCTTTTTATTTGACCCTTTGAGTCGCTAGTTCAGTATCTATAAACTGGAGCCTATTTTACTAAATTAACTTCAGATGATGACCAAGTTTTAAGCATGAAAACAACCAGATCACATCACCTTTAATATATAATCTCCTCCACCTTTAGAGACATTATGAACGTTTTTACAGATAAATATATTTACAATAGTCTTTTTATTTGACCCTTTGATGAGCAGCATCAGTCGCTAGTTCAGTATCTATAAACTGGAGCCTATTTTACTAAATTAACTT